GCAACCATGAAATTTGGAATCAGGAAAATTTTGTTTTCAATCCTGGTTCCTCCACACCGACAGTGGCAGGTTGAACAAGAGGTTTCCTCAGTTGAGCCTCAGTTCCCTTCTCTGTAAAATGGGGATAACAATGTAAGTAGCAAAGGGAGGAGGTGAGGATGAAAGGAGAAATCCCATTCGGAGCACCTGGCAGCAGGCCGGACAAACCAGCAGCAGTGGTCATTCCCCAGGGACCACTCCGTCCCTTGGGCCTCCAGTTTCCTTCTCTGGTGCCTTCGCTCCCTCAAGTGTGAAACAAGAGGATAACAAGGGTTATCTGAAGGCCCTGCCAGTTCTAACACTCTGTGATTCCATGACTTTGTTATGTGTATAATGCCCACCACCAAACGACCTTGATCCCCATTTCAGTCCTTTGTTTCTGACGCTAGGCAATAACCCCAAACACTTCCATTGTTATTCCTCCTCCATAAACAAAAGCCCGCCAAAACACTGGGGTTTCACTCCGAAAATCCAGCGTTTACTGGCTGGCCCCTTGCGTGAGCTACATGGATTGCCCTTTTCTCAGGACAGCCCTGTGAGGTAGACTTACCATTCTGGAGGGAAATGTTTTCCTACCATACTGCCCCACACTGAAAAATCTTGTCTCTTTCGAGCAATTAGAAGCTGAAGGATAATGCAGTGTTGCATGGGGGGGGTGTGGGAGGAGAAAAAGAGCCGCAAGTTGGTGCCCCACCCGAGCTCCTGGCTAAGGGAGATGGAAGTAGAAACCCTACAGTTTTTTGCAAAGCAAGGCTGACTGCCATCTGATTGGGTGTCTCAGGGTTCTCTGGCACTTCTGAAAGAGCCTCAGATTCTGTAAAAACTTAGAGGTGCTGTGGAATGCTTTTTAAATTTAATTTTGTTTTTAAATTATAAATGTATACCAGAAAGTTTGGAGGGAATAAAACAGTTCCTATGACATCCATCATCATGCCCTGGCTTGTGTGGCTCAGTGGGTTGAGCACTGGCCTGCAAACTCAAAGGTTGCCAGTTCGATTCCCAGTCAGGGCACATGCTTGGGTTGAGAGCCAGGTCCCCTGGTGGGGGGGTGTGGAGGCAACCAATGGACGTTTCTCTCACACATTCATGTTTCTCTCCCCCTTTCTCTCTCCCTCCCCTTCTCTCTAAAAGTAAATAAATAAAGTCTTTTTTAAAATCACCCCAAGAGAATACGTCAAGGACATGCTGCAACTGAGTGCTGTGAAGACTGGTAAACACAAACCTCATGTAAACTGGAGTTGGGAGGGCCTGACACTCAGCCAGTTACCTCCTTACTTTCCATCTCCAACAGGAAGATGTTTTTCTACTCCACCACTCCAGCCCGAAGAAGGAGGATCTTTTTCTTGCCTGGCAACCACTCAGCCAATGAAAAGCCACTACCCTTCTACTACCAGTTTCCTTTAATGGACTCCGTGTTTACAGCAGCCCCTGGGAAATGCTCCTTTCCCCTGTAAAAGAACTGTTCCCAGCCTTGGTTCTCTAGACGTGCTGTAGTTTGCCATTAGACCACACGTCCTGAATAAAACCAGGCTGCTGGAGAAATATCTGGCTGTTTGTTTAAGGTCCGTAGTACGGTCTTGGTCCTGCCACTTCCAAGCGTTGGAATCTTGGGCAACTGTTGTGTCGCCCCAAGTCTCATTTTCAAGATGCATGTCCTGGTAATGGAAACCACTTCACAGGGACTACAAAAATCAAATGAGCTTTTAATTTCATGTTTCAAACAGGCTTGAGAAAGAGAGCATATACCAAGCACCTAACACAAGTGTGGCCTATCATGACTGCTCAGTAAACAAGTGTTAGCTCTTCGAGGCTATTTTCCTGAGTGTGTGTTTGCTCTGACATCACATTATTTAAAACAGACCGGAACTGTGCAGCCCCAGTTCAGGTCCAGACTCAGACACTAACTAGATGGGTAACCTTGGCTAGTCGCTTAACTTGTCTCTGAGGCTCAGTTTCCTTGATAATCCCTACTTCATGAGGCTGTTGTGAGCTATTATGTAAAAATTTCGGCAGTGTGAGGCACGTAGTAAGTATTGAATGAATGTTACTTACTGTTTTCAACCCTGCTGTGTTGTCTTGAGTCTTTTCCACCGGAAGACTTTACCCTAATCTATTTAGCTAGTCTGTTATTGTCGTTAGCACTTTCTGTGAGTGTTATGAAAATGCTGCAATGGCGTCTTAGTGCATTTGGAGGGAGGAGAAATTCTTTTTAATCACTAAGATCCTGGGCTGGGGGGATTGCCCATCAGCATTTGGATTTCTAAGAAAACTTATTGGAAAGTGAGAGAGAGTGCCCTGACAGGTGTGGCTCAGTTGGCTGGGCATCCTCCTGCAAACCGAAAGGTCGCCGGTTTGATCCCCGGTCAGGGCACATGCCTGGGGCGCAGGCGAGGTTCCCCGTTGGGGTGGGAGTGAGAGTCAACCGACCTATGTTTATCTCACACATCGATATTTCTCTCCTGCTCTTTCGCCCTGCCTTCCCCTCTCTCCAAAAATAAATAAAATCTTAAAAGTGAAAGAGTGAGGGAACGAGTGAGGGAGTAGAAGAGTCGTTCAATCATTCCGAAGCTTCCAGTCAGACTGGCGGGGAGCTGGGTGTCTGCCTCCCAGTGAAAGGAGGACACATCCTATCAGGGCTTGTCTCAGAGGTGGTTCCACCTCTAAGTCACAGCTTTTGGACCTGAGTCCTTCCCAGGCATTTCGCTCTGGTCTCCTGCGCCCACCTCCCATCTCCTCCTCACTGAGATGCCTGGCCACATTGGCGGAGAGCTTTGCCAGGGCTCCCAGCTGCTCCTGGGAAGGGTCTGAGAAAGTGGGTGACCGGAGGACTGACCAGGACTGAGCTCCAAAGGGACAAGCAAGAAACAGAACCCCGAGCCAGCCCTTTCCCTGTCGGCCTCAATTTCTGCACTTGCGGAAAGGGTGCTGAATCATCCCTAAGATTCCATTCAAAGAACTCCAGAGCAGGGCAATCTAGAATCCTAAAGAAAACTACAGGTGCAGCCCTCCTACTGACTCCCCTCTAACCGCACGGAAACCTAACCCTCCAACAGGCATCTCGTTCTGGACGTACCCAAATCAAACTGCTCTCCTCCTCCTGAATCTCAGCAAATGACAACCCCGTCCTTCAGTTGCTGAGACTAAATTTTGGGACCACCCTGGAACTCTCCTCTCTCACTCCCAGCCCCTGTCAACAAATCTTGTTCAGAACCAAAAAAAGAAAAAAAACTAACAAAAAACAGAATCGGACACCTCCCGCCACCTCCTACCACCCCAGGCAGAGCCACCGTCCTCTCATCACATGATGGTAACAGTCTCCTCCTGCTTTGGCTGCTTCTCCTTTACTAGGGTGACCAACTGTCTCAGTTTGCCCAGGACTTCAGGAGCATCCAACATGCCAAACCTGAAGTGCTAAAATTAGGAAAGTGCCCTGGCTGGTGTGGGTCAGTGGATTGAGCACCAGCCTGTGAACTGACAGGTCACCAGTTTGATTCTCAGTCAGGACACACACCTAGGTTTCGGGCCAGGTCCCCTGGTTGGGGGCGTGTGAGAGGCAACTGATCGATGTTTCTCTCTTTCTCTCTCCCTCCCCCTCTCTCTAAAAATAAATAAATAAAATCTTAAAATAAAACAAAATAAGGAAAGTCTCAGGCAAACCAACAAGGGTTAGTCCCCCTGCCTCTTCTCAGTACAACAGCCTGAGGTTCCTTTTAAATATATGCTCATCAGATCACATCACAGCTCTGCCTAAAACCTTCTGATGATGTCCCATTTCTCTCTGACTCAAATTGTCTACAAGTTTTACACGAGCTGGTGCCAGCCGCGCCCCCCCCGGGTCCCTGACCCCCCGCCCCCCCCCCCCAACCCACTCCATCCTCCACTACGTTCTTCTCCAGACGTCCACATCGCTCTTTCCCTCCCTGCCTCAGGTCTTTGCTCAACTGTCACTTTACTAGACAGCTCTTCCCTGGCCACTTCTCCCCCTCCCTTTATTCTTCTTTATTGTTTTCCGTAAGACTGCTGTCTCCTGGAATACTGTGTGCCTGTGCCTTTTGGTTTGTTTCTTCCCAGATGAAGGAATGCTTCCGGAGGGGCTTTGTTGGTTTTCTTTCCGGTTCTGGCATAGCTTGTGGTGCATATGATGGGGGACTCGAAAGCTGGACCATTTCAGTTTAGGTAGTAGCTAATAAGCTTGGTAATCAACGCATGTAAAAGCTTTGTTCCGGGAACTGAGTGTGTGACCCACCCTGACCCCAGGAGACCACAAGCAGTTCCACCTTTGTGCCTCAGGAGGACGGCCAGCCATCCAGGTGGTGTCTGAGCGGTTGAGCTCCAGGGTGGGACGCCCACTGCCCAGGACACAGCAAAAGACAACGGCCCAGGGTGCGAATGCTGCAGGTTTTAAGTCCAGTGAACTTTTCCCTGAATTCCAAACTCATTGTTACCTACACTCTGTTCTCCTTTTAAAAAGGGAGATTTTAAAATGGAATTGAAGACGGCCTGTTAGGGCACAAACCCACCGTCTTTGCAGGTCGCTGGCCATCTGAACAAAGCACCCATAAAGATTCTGTCCCTGTCTCTGCTTATTGGGTCTGGCGGGTGACAGGCAGCATGAACACCGGCTTTTTCGGTTTCCCATTGAAAGCCCTCAACCAATATTTGCTGAATGAATTCACGAATCTTCCTGCCACCTTCTCCCTCTACCAACTGGCTGGCTTTTATGTCTCAACACCCCTAGCTGAGTCATTGTTCCTCCCCTGACCAGCTGTCACCTCCGCTTACAATCTTCAGGATCAGACAGCACCCGTACTGCCTACTGACCCTCCCGCCTGGCCTCAGTGCGCTGCTCCCTGCCTTGTTGTTTTAGCAGCACCACCAGCTTTCTGTGAGCAGCCTCCAGCAACCTTGATCCTGAGTTCAGGGTACAAAACAAAGACATCAAAGGCATTTTCAGCACCTACCTGGTTCAGCTCTGGCCACTCCCCAGTGGGCCAGGAAAATCAGCAGCTTGAGTAGCCTCATCCCAGGGGCTCACTTGCCTTCTGGGAGACGTGAGGTTCTCCAGGAGCTGTGTTCTCCCCGCGGGCTTCCCCACTTGGGCTGGGTGGCCAGTTCCCTCAGGAGAGCTTTCAGTCTGGTTGTCTGGTGTCCGCAGGCATCTAAGGCGTCTGGTGCCTCTGGCTTTTCTTCTGTTGTCCAGCAGGGTGTGAGCTGGGCCTTTGGACTCTGAGTTAGAAAACAGCACCTCTCCCTGACTGGTGTGACTCAGTGGGTTGGGCATTGTCCCTGAGGAGTGAAACAAAGCGCTTCCGGGTTGATTGACAGTCAGGGCACATACCAGGGCTGCGGGCCAGGTCCCCAGTTGGGAGCTCGTGAGGGAGGCAACTGGTGGTATGTGTTTCTCTCACATATCGTGTTTCCCCTCTCTCTAAAAATAAATAAAATATTTTTAAAAAGAAACTAGCACGTGTCCCACTGGTTCCTCGGACTGTGTCAGCCCAGCCAGCAACTGGATTCCCCAGGAAACTCACCCAACCCATCACTGAGAGGCAAATGTTGTTAACGCCTGGAGTTTTTATGGTGCCTCTCCCGCAGAACAAGCCTGTATAATGTGACAGATCTTTGCCATAAAAGGAACTTAACTGCTCGTGGGGGCTACAGCTGCTCAACCACAGATGAACCAAGACTAAGAGACATTCATTCATTCGTGCCGAGAACCATGTCCCAGGGAGATGGGGGGACCCAGGGCAGCCTCTGCCCTCGAGATAGGGAGGTACTAGATTTATCGAGATGATCACTTAGTAAATTATATGACATCTAATCACTGGGATGTACACCTGTAACTAATATAACATTGTATGTGAACTCTAATTGAAAAATAATAAATGATTTAAATAAAAAAAGAAAATATCAAAAATAGGCCCTGGCTGGTGTGGCTCTGTGAATTGAGCACTGGCCTGTGACCTTTCAGGTCACAGGTTCAATTCCCAGTCAGGGCACATGCCTGGATTGTGGGCCAGGTCCCCAGTAGGGGGGGTGGGTGCATGATAAGCAGCCACACACTGATGTTTCTCTCCCTCTCTTTCTCCCTCTCTTTCCCTCTCTCTGAAAATAAATAAATAAAATCTTTAAAAAAAAGGTGTCAGGAATAAATAGAAGTAGGGAATAGTGTAAAAAACCCCAGAGCACCCATCTTTCAGCTACAGCAAGTATGAGTTTACAGCCAACCTGACTTTATCTACACCCAACCCCACTGGATTCTTTTAAAGCAAATTCCAGAGATCATATTATTTTGCCAGTAAACACTTCAGTATATATCTCTAAACGGTAAAGACTCTTTTTCCCAATACAATGATAACACCCTGATCGCATTTAAAGAAATAATAGTAATTCCTAACTATCACTGGTAAATATGTGGTCAGTATTTACATTTTTCTGATGATCTCATAATATTTTTAAAGCTGCTTTATTCCAATCAAGATCCAAACTAGGTCCAAACTAGAACTACGTTCTGCTGGTGTGTCTCTTAAGTCTCTTGTAATTTGTAGACCTATCCCCCACCCCCTTTTCTCTTTGCTCTTTGCCAAAGGAACCAGGTCATTTGTCCTGTGGAATTTCCCGCATTCTGGAGGATTTGGCTGATTGCTTTTTGGTGGTGTCATTTAACATGTTCCTCCATCCCCCATATTTCCTATAAATTGGTAGTTAGAGCTAAAGGTTTGATGACATCTAGGTTTGATTTTTTTTTTCAAGAAAGACTTCTCAGGTGCTCTTGTGTCCTTCCTGTTATTTTATATCATCAGGCATGTACTTGCATGGTTTGCCTTAATGTACAGTTGGAGTTACCTAGAAGAAGGGGAATATGGGGAGGTGGGTGTCCCAAGCAGAAGAGGCAGCTTTGGTAAGACAGAGATGCTGAAACGTCCCAAGGAGCTTTGTTGTGTGGTATCGGGGCATGGGGTCCTGAGCCAGGGAAGCAGGCAGAAGCCAGGCCATGCTCAGTTGTTGAGCTGAGACCTCTGGGGAGCCATGGAAGCATCTTAACCCGGGGAGAGACACAAACCACCTTAGGAAGACTGCACTGAAGCTGTGGGAGATGGGTTTGGGGGATACCAGAAAGGAAGCTCAGGCAGAGAAGTCCTTGTCTAGGGTCTACTCTAGGGAATTAGTAACTGGGACTGGGGAGGAATCAAACAGACTGTGCCTGGGGAATTGGCTGAAGTGTTCATTTGTGTTCTCTGTATTTTTTAAACCCTGCTCTAAGCAGGTAGCAAAGATTCCTTCCCTCAAGTAGGATGTGGCCAGGAGATCGGCAACAGGTTCTTTTTAAGATTTTTTATTTTTATTTATTTTTAGAGAGAGGGGAAGGGAGAGAGAAAGAGAGGGAGGGAAACATGGATGTGCTAGAGATACAGGAGTTGGTCGCCCCTCACACCTTCACAACCAGGGACCTGGTCTGTAACCCAGGCACGTGTCCCGACCAGGAACGAAGCAGTCTACCATTCTGCTGGGGTAGTCAACAACACGGATTGTGAAAGAACTCACAAAGAGAAGAAAAGGTAGACAGCAAAGTTTTTATTCACTTTTCAAGAGTGGAAAGGGGCACCAGCAGCAACATGTAGAGGCTTTGAGTTTTTACTGGACTGTAATTGGATTATAAAAGGGTGGGAGGAAGTCACTGTTATGTGGCCCTGGGCTTTTAGGGGCCTTGCAACACAGGAGGTTGCTGTTGGTTTTGCATAAACTGCAAATGTTATCTTCTGCCGGTGGCTGTAGGGTCGCTTAGTCACGGACTGTTCTGGCTTTCCAGTAATTTCCAGTCTTGGGGACAGAAGCTCAGAAGAGTAAAATGGCAGCCGTATTTAATAAGGTCATAGGCCTACTTGGCAAACGGTGCCAGGATGGCTAACAGCGCTGGCTTTATTTAGCCTTTCACTTTCGGTTTGCGGGACAAAGCCCAACCCACTGAGCAACGCCAGGTAAGGATTTTTGTTTTTTATTTTTTATTTGTTTATAACTCTTTGAAGAAGCCACCTCCAGGCTTTTGTCCTTTTGTTACTGGACAGCCTGGAGTAGGCCTGCCTGTAGTGTGTGGGTTCTTGACTTCGTGTAGGAAAGATTTCACAGTATGAGTCCAAGTGATTTTGAGAATACATTCATTAAGGCTGGGGACAGTGAAACAAGGGAAAGACTGGGGGTGGACGAAGTAACAGGAGTGAGCCAAAGTGGGGCTGCTGTCAGCTGGATAGAGAGAGATCTGATCGGATCCCTGGAGAGGGGTTGAAGGGGGGCCACAGGAGGGCAACTCTGGTGCGGAGGAGTTTGCCAGAGGCAACCATCTAGGATGGGATTGGCTGAGAAGCTGAATACCTCTAAACCACATGGAATTATGGACCAGATGATGTGAAATAAAAGAAGGACTCTCAGGGGCTCTGGCTCTCTGGTTTTCTTCCTGAAGGATGCCTGGGTGATCACGCTGTGGCTGCCTTCATTTCCCAGATGGTGGTATTTCGGATGGGAAGGAATTCTGGGTACAGCCTGGGATCAGGCTGGTCTGGCAGAGGGTGCCAGGATTATTCTTCTTGAGTCTATCTGGCTTTTAATGGGGTTTTTGTTATTTGTTCCCCTGACACTATCTGTCCTTGGGTTTAGGTGGCACAAATGACATTGTGTCTCTGTTCTCTATTTCCCAGACTGGGGAGGTTTAAGCTATGCATTCTTTGGTTAAGGAGGAGGGGTATAAACCGTTCACTCTCAAGTGTCCTTGGTTAGGGAGAATAAGTTCTTACCATTCACCAGCTGGCTGTGAGTTACTCACTGTTTGGCCTGTTCTTTTGTCTTCTCTCAGTTTCCCCATTCCACTTGCCCAGGACTTTTTCTAGCTTCTTACTAACCTGCCTCACCCTGACCTCCTAGAGCAGATGGTGGTGGGGTGGGGGTAGGGAAGCACCTGGAAGAGCGGGGAGACTGGCCCAGCCAGGATGGCAGACAGAGGTTTACGGGGTTCCAGACGTATCCAGGCTGTCTCCAGGAGGGAACATATCTGCAGTTCAGACGTGAAGTCCTCGAACATGTACTTGTGCTCAATAAGTATTAAATGTCTATTAGCTTCTGGGCTCTGGGGACACAGTGATGAACTAAAACAACTCTCAGGCCCTGACCGATGTAGCTGAGTGGATTGAGCACAGGCCTGTGAACCAAACCATCGCCAGTTTGACTCCCAGGCAGGGCACATGCCTGGGTTGCAGGTCATATCCCCAGTATGGGGTGTGCTAGAGGCAACCACACATTAATGTTTCACTCCCTCTCTTCCCCATCTCTCTAAAAATAAATAAATAAAATCTTTAAAAAACAAACAAACCACAACTCTGCTCTCATGGAGCTTAGATTCGGCAGGAGAGAAGCTCACTACATGGCCACACCCCGGGGGTCTGAGCGGCAGCAGAACCTCCAGCCCCTTGGAACTGCACCTGCTTCCTCGAGGAGTCTACCAGCAGGGCCCGCAGACAACCGAAGACTAAAGCCCTGTCCATGTTCAGGGCGATGAGTCACCCCAAGGACAGGGAGGGCGTCAGAATCACCACGACTGATGTTCTGCCAGCTCAGAGCAAAAGGGCTCAGAGACCAGCTGCTGCTGATTTAACGAAAATAAGGCAGTGTGACTGTTCTGGCACCTGAGCCTATGGCCTAATTCATAACCACTCCAAGATATGTACAGCACCTAGAGGTAGGCTTGGAAGGTAACCCAGGAGACTGGTGGGAAGGAGGACAGGCAAGAAGTCTAGGCAGGTGACTCCCTGAGGGCTGAAGACGGAGTTGGCAACAATTAGGCTAGAAATTGGAACAAGGGGAGGAGCTTCGAGGGGGCTTAGGTGCTCCTGGTAAACCCCTTGAGGGAGTTTACCTTGTAAACCCTTTGACGGAGTGCCACTCAGCTTTTGTCTGAATGCAAAGATTTCTTTTAAATACACCGGCTTTTGGGTCGGTGTCCCCAGAAGGCCCTCCCATCACCATCGCCACTGTTGACCCATGAGGTATGTCTGTGCAAGTAGAAAAAGGCTCCTCTCTCGGCCTCTCTCCTCTCTAGGCCTTTGTGTGAGTTAGAAAAGGTGCCTCCACATCCCAGACAGACACAGCCAGGGCTCAGAGTGGAGCCAGGCGGCATTTCAGCCCCTACTCAGCCCTCTGCCAGGATTTTGCTACCTACATGACAGTGGCTTCTTCCTGGGCCCAGCCTGACCCACTGAACCCATCC